CCTACCTCTATCTACCTTGTATTTTGAGGCAGGGTCTCTCACAGGCCTGGAGCTCCCCAAGCAGGATAGACAGGCTGCTCACTGGGATTAAAAGTGTACACCAAAATGACTGTTTTTTAAAAATTGTTCTGATTGAACTATACAGTTTTCTTCACTCCCCTCCCTTTCTCCCCCCTCCTTCTAGCCTCTCCCATGACTCCAGATTCCCAGTTTACTCAGGAGATCTTGTCTTTTTCTCCTTCCTATATAGATGCGTGTATGTCTCTCTTAGGGTCCTCTTTGTTATCTAGTTTCTCTGGGGTTGTGGCCTGTAGGCTGGTTTTTCTTTACTTTATGTCTATAAGCCACTTATGAATGAGTACATATTGTATTTGTCTTTCTGGGTCTGTGTTTCCTCACACAATATTTTTTTTTTCTAGATCCATCCATTTGCTTACAAATTTCAAGATGTCATTACTTTTTACTCCATTGTGTAAATGTGCCACATTTTCCTTATCTATTCTTTGGTTGAGGGGCATCTAGGTTGCTTCCAGGTTCTTGCTATTACGAATAATGCTGTTATGAACATAGCTGAGCACATGCCCTTGTGGTATGATTGAGCATCCTTTGTGTATATACCCCAAAGTGGTATTGCTGGGTCTTGAGGTGGATTGTTTCCTAATTTTCTGAGAAATTGCCATACTGATTTCCAAAGCATATGCCTGGGTTTTTTTTTTTTTTAATGTAGGTTCCAGGGATTGAACTCAAGATCTCATGCTTGCAAGGCAAGTACGTTACTAACTGGTTGTTCAGCTTTCTTTGTCATTATTGTGGATAATTTCAGTAACCCTCTCCCTACCCAGATCCAGCCTCCCCTGAGACAGGCCCTGCTCTGTGCGGGGGCAAGGACTTTACTGATTGAATTACCTCTACATTTCTGTAGCATAACATTTGGGTTATTCTATTTTATAATTAATTATTGTCATTGGTTTCTTACTTGACCCAATTTGTAAATTAAACTTCATCATAGGCCTGTGTGTGTAGGAAAAAACCATAGTATGCGGCAGGCAGCTCAGTTCACAGGTTGCTTTTGCAGGCATCCACGAGGGGGGCTGAGAAGGGATCTCCGGTGGATAGAGAGTCTCTCCTGTGGATAGACAGACAGATGTCTTATGCATCTTCTAAGCAATGTTGTACGTTGCATAAACACACCGTCGGAGTGGATTTCTAGGAAAAGGCCCAGAGAGAGACAATGGGTTGACTCTCAGCCCCGTCATCTCACTGGAGATTGAAGGTGGTGCTTTGGTGAACTTTATATTTAATGCTTACATTTTTATTTATTTAAAAGATTCAGTTTTTAGTTATGCATTTGTGTGCTTGTCTTTGTGTGGGTATGCACACATGTGTATGCAGGTGGAGTCCAGAAGAGGGAGTTGGATTCCCTAAAGCAGTAGCTACAGGCAGTTGAGAGCTGCCCAGTAGGAGCTCTGGGAATCGAACATGGGTCCTTTGCATGGACCGTGTGTGTTTTTAACCACTGAACCATTTCTTCAGTTCCCAGTTTTGATATTTTTATGTCTCTTCTATTAGACAGTTGTTGTAAATGGTTTTAGGAGATGGACAATTTGTCTCACTTCTGGGTCTCCAGCAACAAACCGACAATTGGCATTTACTAAGTACTAGTTATGTCTCCGTGCTTCCTGGGATGGGTGGGTGGGGGTGTGTGTGGACTCAGCAGGATAGAACTCTACTGTAGAACCTGGAGTTTATTCAAGGAGATCTCCTCTCTTACCTCATTTAAACTTGTTAGTCCTCTCTTAATCTTTCCAAATTTTAGGGAAGAATATGTTTACCCCATTGCCCAGGAGAATGATGCAAACTCTTTAAGAAAGATGACATTCAGGCTTCAGGGATGTCTTCTGTGATCCTGTTCATGAGCACTCCTGTATCTGGGGATTTGCCTTTCTAGGAAGCTGGACCACTTTGGCTTGTGTTCCTTCCAGGCGTGTTCTTCCAGGGTGCAGATAAATCAAGCTAGCATGATGCTAAGTATCCTTTGTAAACACGCTTTCATGTTTCTCCCTGCGAGAAATGTCCTAGGGACTGCATCAGGCTTTCGTTCCCATGGTCTCAAAGACGGTTCAGAATTACTGAGCTGTCTGTTGCGCTCAGCACACGTTGGCTTTCCTGGGGCACGGAGCCTTTGGGGCTCTGGGGCACTTAACTTCTGAGCCATCCTCCGGCTTGTGCGATTACCTTGCTTTGACTAACAAGCGAAAGAAATCTTCCAAATGTCCACGGATCTGCAATCCCGCTCGAATGTCATAGGAAAGGACAGTGACATCTTGGAAAAAAGTTCCTGCTTTGACCTGTTTTGCTGTGTCATGCTTGGGTCAGGTCAGGTTCCGCTGGACATTTCGTTGTCATGCGAGTCCAGCGAGGGTCGACGCGCGGTTTCCATTCCCACTACTGGGAAATGATTCACTTAAATCATTACAATGGGCATTTGACACGGAACACAAATACCAGTTTTTGTTTTTGTTTAATTTCTTCCCTCCCCAGAGAAGAGAATCTAAAGCAATGAAAACCTGTTTTCCATCTCCCTCCGCTTTCCCAGTCCAGGAACATTTGAGATGCTCATTAACGCCGGGCCATTTCGGACTCGGCCAGTGCAATTGTTGAATTTGTGGTTTCTAGCAGATCTGTAGCTTGGCTTTTCATCTTTGACTAATGGCTGCTTTCAGGCCTTTGTGGTGTATTCATTTCCCTAACATTTAAAATAAATACTCAAGTGTCATGGAAACCAGGGCTGGCTTTTTTTTCTCATTCTCAGTGACTTTTCTTCGGGGATGACTTCAGCCGCTGTGAAACAGATACTGACTTTTGCTTCTATGTACACTTGGCTGTTACAGCGAGACGATCAACACAGATGGTGGGGACCTTCCACCGAGGACATAGTAGGACCAGAAGCAATCTTGTCATGTACTCATTTGTAGATTTCTTCAGGGAGCTGTACTGGGGCCCTACTGTACACCAGGCACTAAGGCACACACTCAGTGTACTGTGGCTGCTGTTGCCATAAAGAACAGACCAATGGAAATCCCTACCTGGCTTGAGTAGCATGTGTCCTAGTCCCTAGCTATCTATTCAGGAGGCCTACGACAGAGAATCACCGTAGCCCAGGGTTGGTTTCTGAGATGCTGTCTCTCTATATAGCCCTCTCTCTACTTAGACATGATTTCATAGACTTGTTTTTTATTTTATGCACAGGAATATTTTGCTTGCAAGTATGTCCTTGCGCCACGTGAGGGCTGTACCCCCAGAGGCCGGAGTTTGGATCTGCATATGAAAGAGAACACGTGGTGTTTGTCTTTCTGAGCCCGGGTTGCTGCACTCAAGTGTAATTTTTTCCAGGGCCAAAAAGCAGCAGTTGCGACTAAGTAGGTGGCAAGGCTTTACCTGGCTGTGTGTTTTAGGCCCTCGTCAAGGGTGGCGTTAACCTTCCCTCTTTCCCTACAACACTTCTTTTCTTTGGAGACAGGGTCTCATACTAAGCCCAGGCTGGCCTGAGAGTCATTATGTTGCCTGGGTTGGCCTTGAATGTATGGCAGTCTTCCTGCCTCAGCCTGTCGTGTGCTGGGATTACAGCTACATAGCTACTACACCACATCTGGCTTTCTGTGAGTATGTGTGCACATGTACGGTGTATGTGTATGCATGCTTTCCTGTGCAGCTGTCCATGTATAGATGTGTGCACATGTATGGTGTTTGTGTATGCATGCTTTCCTGTGCAGCTGTCCATGTATAGACATGTGCACATGTATGGTGTTTGTGTATGCATGTTTTCCTGTGCAAGTGTCCATGTATAGATGTATGCATGTGTATTGTGTTTGTGTGTGCATGTTTTCCTGTGCAAGTGTACAGGTACAGTAGAGTAGATGTATGCACATGTATGGTGTATGTGTATGCATGTTTTCCTGAGCAGGTGTCTATGTATAGACATGTGCACATGTATGGTGTTTGTGTATGCATGTTTTCCTGTGCAAGTGTCCATGTATAGATGTATGCATGTGTATTGTGTTTGTGTGTGCATGTTTTCCTGTGCAAGTGTACAGGTACAGTAGAGTAGATGTATGCACATGTATGGTGTATGTGTATGCATGTTTTCCTGAGCAGGTGTCTATGTATAGACATGTGCACATGTATGGTGTTTGTGTATGCATGTTTTCCTGTGCAGGTGTACAGGTACAGTAGAGTAGATGTATGCACATGTATGGTGTTTGTGTATGCATGTTTTCCTGTGCAGGTGTCTATGTATAGACATGTGCACATGTATGGTGTTTGTGTATGCATGTTTTCCTGTGCAGGTGTCTATGTATAGACATGTGCACATGTATGGTGTTTGTGTATGCATGCTTTTCTGTGCAGGTGTGCAGGTACAGCTGTGTACACAAGCAGGCAGAAGTCAGAGGTTCTCAATTGCTCTTCACCTTGGATTTTTTTTTCTTTTTTTGAGACAGGGCCTCTCACTCTCTCCACAACTCATTTACTCTGAGAGACTGGCTGCCCAGCAAGCCCTGGGCTCCTTCTGTCTGCCTCGTCAGTGCTGGAATTATAGGCATGCATCGCTACACCCATTTCTGCTTCCTGTGGGGTCTGGGGTTCTGAACTCAGGCCCTAATCTTGTATGACAAGTGCTTTACCAACTGTACTCTTTCCCAGTCCCACCCCCTCTTTTAAACTGTTAATGATTGTATTTAGTACTGGCTATAGAGTTTCCAGAGGACATTCTCAAAACAGAAACATCTTAAAGTTTAAGCTTGGCCCTCTGTTAAAGGCTTTCCAGTGCTCCAGGAAGGCTTGTGCGTTTTAAGATATTTTTGAGCTGGACGGTCGTGGTGCACGCCTTTAATTCCAGCACTTGGAAGGCAGAGGCAGGTGGATCTCTGTGAGTTTGAGGCCATTCTGGTCTACAGAGCTAGTTCCAGGAGCCTCTCACTGCTGTGGGTTTGTCTCTTTAGGAGTATGTGCACCACCTGCTCGCCCTGGAGCACCGCGCCGAGGAGCTGTTTCTGGAACACTGGCTGAATCCCCACTGCAAGCCTCACTGTGACAGGGACCTGGTCCACCCTGTGTAAGGACCCAGAGCCAGCTTGGTATGTTCCCAGCCTTTTGTTGGGGAGAATGACGATGGGAAATATGTTCACGGTGGGGAGACTTCCTGGAGGAGTGTGCTCAGGGGCCAGGTGTCACTGACTGTTGTTTAAAGGGTGGCAAGGGAGCCAGGCAGGAAGGAAAACAGGGGTGCCCACTGGTCACTGAGAGATCCCAGATGAGGTGCTGAAGGTACCCTATTTGCCATCCAGGAAAGATCTGTATATGATATGCATGCAGTTCCTACAGCAACCAAAAGAGGGCATCAGACCCTCTGGGACTGGAGTTACAGCCAGTAGTGAGCCACCATGAGGGTGCTAGGAATTGAACCTGAGTTCTCTAGCAGAGCAGGTCTTAACTGCTGAGTCATCTCTCTCTGCAGCCCCCTCTCCCCAGTTTGGATAGACTGGAGCTTGTTGTGTCCATCAGGCTAAACTTCAACTCAAAGAAATCTTACAGCCTTTGTCTTCTGAGTGCTAAAATTGAAGGCATACACCACTGTGCTTAGCCCTCTCTGGGCTTTTACAGACCAAGCAGGACAGGGTATAACCGGGTGGTTGATTATGTGTGGTCACGAGCAATCTCCTCACCTTTGCTGCTGAGTAGTCTGTGTGACTGTAATGGCACAGGGATGTCCCTTCAGAACGTCACCCGGGAGTTTGTAGAGTGCTCTTACAGTTCTGTCATGGACTGTCTTATTACCCTGACATCATCAATGGCCTGTCTCAAAAAACCAAACCAAACCAAACAAACAAAAAACCCGGAGTGCTTTTTGCTCTTCTAGAGAGCTTGACTTCAGTCCCAGCATTCACGCCTGGCAGCTCACAGCCATCTCTACAACTCCAACTCCAGGAAAGTCTGACGCCCTCTTCTGGCGTCCTGGCACACTGCATCCATACACATATTTGCACACACAGATGCGCATGCACATAATAAATAAATAAAATAAATCTTTCAAAATTGGTGCACACAGAGGGAACATTCAGGAAATAACAGCTGGTAGCTCCTTCTCTCTCCTTTTTCTCCTCCTTCACCACCTCCACCCCCACCATCACCACCCTCCTACCACCATCCCCCCATCACCACTCCACCACCTCCATCCCCACCCCCACCCCCACCATTCCCACTCCACCCCCACCCCCATCACCACCCCACTCCCACCACCTCCACCCCCACCCTTACCACCATTCTAAAATTATTTCCTCCTTCTTTCTTCTACAGCAGGTTTCTAGGCAGTGATCAGGAGGCTGCTGGGACAGAGAGAAGCTCGTCTTCCATCTGATCGGGAACTGAAGAAATGAAGCCTTCTGACCTCAGGAACTTGCGGCTCTTTGTGGGAAGGCCAGAAGTGGCCTTCAGAGGGAATGACAAATATATATTCTGCTCTGTTTTACTAACCTGCCCACATCGTGAAAACTAACAGCTTGAATCAAAGGGCCCTGAGAGCCTTCCTACCAGTTTGCAAGTAGGCGGAGCCCCAGTCCTCCGGAGAGGGATGGAGCTGGGGGCTGCAGAACAGGCCTGGGGTGGTGTGTCTGCACTGTGGGCTCTCTTGCTCAGAGCGGGGGGGAGTACATCACTGGGAGCTGCTGAGTTTGGGGTTCTCTGCTTTTTCATTTCTCTGCTGCACTAATAAAGGCTGGTGTCTAATCTTTCTGTGTGTCTCTTTTCCCACTAGGGGAGTACTGGGGATTTCTTGCCATATTCACCGTTGTAAACCCAGTTCCAAATAGTGCGCCACTATTTTTTAAAGGCTTATTTAATCTTAGTTTTTATGTGTGAGTGTTGGGCTGCATGTATGTATGTTCACCATGTGCTGGGGTGTTGGGAGCTGTGAACCCCCCAGATCCCGAATTTCTTGCAAACAACTTGTTTTCCCCTGATATGAAAACTAACAGCTTGAATCACAGGGCTCCTGAGAGCCTACAGCTGCTCTGAGCACGAGACCCTCAGGCGTTCCTGATGGCAGGGGAATGGTTTCTGATGCGTTTGGCTGGGGCGTGGCTATCCCTATATAAGCTGCCCTTGGACACAATAAAGGGGGGGCATTCTTTGGGCATTCTGGCATCAAGGATGACCCGTGTCCCTGTCTATGAGTCTTTGTACATCTCAATCTCCAGCCCCTTGCCTGGTTCACGAATGGTATGGTGGTGCATAGAGTGCAGATGGGCGTGGTGTGCCACACTGCTACACTGGGGGAGACCAGGAAGAGGACACTGATCTTCTGGAACTGGAACTACTAGAGAACTGTGAGTCACCATGTGTGCGGGGGTGGGGGGGTAGAAAAGAGGGGACTTGAGAACTGAAATTGGGTCCTCTGCAAGTGCAGATAGTGCTTTTAATTACGGAGCCATCTCTCCCTCCCATAAACTGTTCTTTAAATATGTGGATGGGGCCCGGTGAGATGGCTGAGTGGGTGAGTGTGCCTGCTACCAAGACTGACAACCCGGGTTTGATCCCCAGGACCTGCATGATGAATAAAGAGAACTGACTCCTGGACATTATCCTCCAACTTCCACAAGCATTCTGTGGCACGCACACACCCACTCACATGAATAGATAGAATAGACATGTACGTGAAATAAATAAAAATGCAAGGAAGATATTAGCTCGAGGTCAGTCCAACAGGACCATAACTTAAGACCAAACACATACCCAGTCTTCTAGCAAAGGAGAGATTCTTGTGGAAAGCAGGGTGCTTGTTTCTCTGTACCCCTGAGCCTTCACCTGTAACTCCGTCCCAGAATTAGGCAGTCAAAGCTCAAGCAGGGTAGGGAGTCACCTTGAGTGGTGTCGGGGTGGGCCTGTCTCTGGGAAGGTTGGGCTGGGCTGGTATAAGGAGAAAGTTGCTGAACCTCTGCATAGCAATGGGAAAGAAACCTGGCAGGACAAAAATGGAGTTCCTTGTGTCAACTCTGCAAAACAAAACAGTAAATGAAGCTGTGGCTTGTGAGACAGGCTTCTTACACGGGATTGCCTGATGATAGCTGTCCCAAAGAACTCTAGGAGACCTCAAAGGCCGCTGAAACCTCACACAGGAAGTTCCGTAAAGACGTTAGCCTCACTCCGCTTATCTTGGGGCTGATGCTACTCTTGTTATTACTCATCGTGATGGAGGGCTATTGTTTCAATGTGACAAATACAGTCTTTTTGTTTTGAAAATTGTTTGCTTCTTCCTCTTTGAACATTCTTATAGCTTATGATGGCGTTGGGATTCCATTATGAAGCTGGTTCCACATAAGTATTGTTATATTTTAGGGCATCTCTGTTTGCTATTCAGATCGAGGGTCATCATACCAACTTGTAGAGATGAAATAAAAAGCCAATAAAAGAGAAGGTAAAGGAAGAAGTCCTGAGTGGTTCCAGGGAAGGTAAAATCTGGAACTTAGGGCCAAACCTGCGAACTTGAGCTCCATACCTGGGATCCCCACAGTGGAAAGAGAGAACTGACTCCCAGAAGTCGTCCTCTGGCCTCCTCTGCACTGTGGTGTGCTCTTCGCAGTGTGCACATAAACACACACACACACACACACACACACACACACACACACACACACTAAAGATATAAGAAAAAAATGGATGGGCATTAGGAGTTCTGTGAGAAATTGCATATTTCATTTAGCCAGCACTGAGCCCCTACCCAGGAAGTGAGTTTGTTCTTTTAGATGCGCATAGATAAATATGGTCCCGTTCAGATGGACTTAGTACATGAAGGAAGAGACTCATATGTATTCAAAGGGCTGCCCTAGAGTTTAGTCGTTGGCAGGCGTTTCTGGAGAGGGCCCCAGCTCTCTGTCACAATGAGTGGAGGCACATAGTAAGTATCTGTTTGTTCAGTTGTGAATTTTCTCCCGGTCCTGCCCCATCCCAGCTCAGCCTTGAATTGCAAACCTTCACCCTGGTAACACAAAAACATGTTATCAGTATGAGATGCTCCCCAAAGACTTCTGTACTGGCTTGGAGAGGAGCTGACCAGTGCTTGCCTAGATAGTAGGTACAAAGCCCTGGGTTTGACAACTAGTATTCCATAAAGCTGGGGATGGTGGCCCATGCCTGTAATCCTGGCATTCAGGAGGTAGAGGCGGGAGGACCAGCTGTTTAAGGTCATCCTCAGCTACCCAGCGAGTGTGAGATTTAGCTTGAGTTACATGAGACCCTTGCCCAAACACCACCACCACCACCACCGTGTAAGGCTTGATTCTGAGCTAGTGGCATAATTTCAGTTTCTGGATATTTTAGGAGGCAATGCCTATCTAGAGGAAGCAGATCACTGCGGGGCTGGTCCTTGGAGTCTGCATCTGGTTCTCTTGCCCCTCCCTGAGCCTGTAACTCCTCATTCCACACACAGAATTTGAGACCTGGATGGAGATCTCTCACCCTGAAACTGACTCAATATGGTTCAGTGTTGTCCCCCTCCCCCACAGATGCATGTTTCTCTCAGTATGTGGGCCCTGTCTCTGAGAACCTCTTTTGTGGATGGATGGACGGCTTGTGATTGTGCCGCCATGTTCTTAAAATGTGGCCCTCGGAAGACAGGTGTTGAGCTACACATGCAAACCCCCAGGCTTCGCCAGCCCTCTGACTCAGTGGGATTCTTGGGAACATTCGGAGTTTGGGAACCGTGGACCCAGAACTTTCCTGGAACTTTATGACGCCGTGAAAGGACCCGAGTGTGCCTGGAGACACAGATGCTTCTCTCACCTCTCCCACTTTCAGGGATTTATTTATGACCTCATCATATACCTGACGTTAGTGGCCCTAGGTTCAGGGATGCGAGAAACAAAATATGCAAAGCACATTTTGTGCTTGTATGTGTGTGTATGCATTCACACATGTGTGTGCTTGTGGGGGTTAGAAGTCAACATCTTCAACTGTTTTCCACTGTCTTTTTTGAGGTAGGATCTCTTGCCAAACCTGCGGCCCACTGATGATCTAGTCTGGTTGATCATGGAGCCTGTAAGTCTCCGCCTTCCAGGGCTGGGATTACAGGTGCATGCTGCATGCCTGACTTCTTCTGCATGGCTGCTGGGAATCTGAATTCAGGTCCTCATGATTTTGCAACAAGGGATTGATCCATTGAGCCATCTGCCCTGCATCCGAAGGCCAATTTATTTGTTTTTTAAATTATCTATTTATTTATAATCTATCTATCTACTTATTTATTTATAATCTATTTATTTGTTTAACATACATGCCATGCCGTGAGCCTGGAAGTCAGAGGACAGCTGGCAGGAGTTGGTTCTCTCCTTCTACCATGTGGGTTCCATGTATTGAACTCCAGTTGTCAAGAGTTTTCTCTGTTGAGGCGTCTTTTTAGGTCTCTTGTAACCACTTTAGAACCCAGAACCCAGTGGGGTTTCACATATTCACATGTTGTGCACCCAGCACCACTGTCCAGTTTCCGCTGTTTCATCACCCTGAGCGAGACCCTATGTCCCCTTAAGCTGACATTCTCAGTTTTTAATTCTTACTCGTCTTCAGCAACATCTATCTGCTTGTTACATATGAAATGGCCTATTCTGGATATTTCAGATACATTGAGTCCTAAATGTTTTTGTCTCTGATTTCTTATACATTGCATATGATTTCAAGGATATCATCGCTGTAGCATGCATGAACATTCCTTTTTCGGGGCCAACCAATGTTCCATTGAGTGGATCTATGTCCCACCTCATGTTTAGTAGTTGATGAGCCTTTGAGTTCCTACCATGCTTTCGCTCTCCTGAGTGGCGTAAACATTCAGGTACATGCTTTTGTTTGGTAACTGCTTTCAAGTCCTCTTGGTCCCTACTTAGAGAGGGAATTGCTGAATCATACGTGATTTCCATTGAGTTTTGTTGTTATTGTGTGTATGCACATTGTGTGTGTGTGTGTGTGTGTGTGTGTCTGTGCACAGTGAGTGGGTAGAGGTCATAGGACCACCTTTGGGGTGTAATTCTCTAGGAATACCACCCACCTTATTTTAAGTCAGCGTCTTCCATTAGGCGAGACTGGCTGTCCCATGTGACCCAAGGATCCGCCTGTTTCCACCTGCCTGCCTCTGTGATTGCCAGTGAGTACCACCACATTGCAACCAACTGTAAGCCAAAGAAACATTTTTTGGGTTTCAGGACTTGAACTCTGGTCCCCGGGCTTGCAGGGCAAGCACCTTACTGACTGAGCCACCTCCCCAGGCTTGTATTGTACTTCGAGGAGAGTTTCTGTTCTCTACTGCAGCTCCCACCAGAAACACGCAAGCATCAAG